CAGTACAGCCTGACATGCTGAAGCAACATAACTTGGCACAACGCTTCCCACTGTTTTGCCCATAATTCTTGGATGTTCAGATAAGCGAGCGTGACCGCTTGCGCAAAACGTGCCGCTGTAAGGAGGTTAAACATGATCCGAAGAATGTAGCACAGAGAACGTAACGGAAAAATGAGCTAAAAATCCCCCTGATCACTCTATTTGACTGACATTTATCTAAATATTTTTACCCTCGTTATGGATGGTGTACCATTGACCATAGCCGGCGTAATGTTATTCGGTTGTTTGACTACCTTCTTTGACTTTGCACTCAGGATTTGCCTTCGTATGATCTAGACTTATCATGGACGTTTCACTTTCCTGTTATATGACACTGGACTGTTGACAAGGTGATGTTGTTTTACTGCGCCCGACATTTTGTTTTGGTTCAACTTACGGTTGTGCTGTGATTTCACTGTTTGTCTCTTGACTGTCTACTGGGAACGTTTGTTTGTTGATTTGATTCTGGTAGGCAGTTTTGATCCCTTTTGTGGAGAATACTCCTAATGACTCTCAGGTACTTAACAGTTGTATTTGTTTAACCAGTTTTCACCGTGCCGTAAGACTCAGGGAACCCATCAGATTCTAGATCGAGTAACAGGGGTTATTACGAGTTGCAAAGCAAGTTCCAACACAACTTTGGCAGGGAAAAAATGGTTTGACGGTTTTTGACTTAGGCTTGAGGTTATAAGACAGAGAACCTGTTGTTTATTTCATGTAAGTTTATCCAACTTTCTAGACGGGTGCCACGTTTACGAATGTGGCATCATAACTGGATTTAACTGCGCTTATATACAGTGGACAGAGATTAAGTCAATTAATTACATCCTCTCAAATCCTTCGGTGTTCGTCTTTTGGCTGGCTTAAATTTGTCGTATGTCGTTTGGAGTATGTTGGTTCAGATGGGGCTCATAAAATTCTGGTCATACAGAGGCGATATCCGCCCACTTTACCCGATTCGCGTTGGAACGCATTTAAAGTTGATGCCATTTCGTACGCACGTACAAAGCAGGGAAGCTTGGAACGATCTGATAGCACTCGATTCCTTTGACTTTGAAAAGGCATAGCCGGATTAATTGATGAATGCTTGAAAAATGCACATCGGCGCAATGTTATCCTCTTAAGGAAAGTTTCGGCGATTTTCCGCGAAGCAGTGTCGAGGTGACAAGTTATTCTCGCCATCATTCAGCTGCCAGAAGCTAAAACAGATTTTCCTGGTCCCATTTTCTGATAAAACTAACTGGAATTATAGAAGAAACGCTTCGAAATTATTGTCGGCAGACATCAGTATTGTCTGAATCACAAACTATGTAAAACCGACCTGCTGATGATATGAAACAGACAGATGAAGTCCAATGAAAATAAATATTCTGTTGTTGTGAATTTTCCGAACTCCATCTGCGAGTTAACCCCAGCTTACTTCAGTGGGGCTCCCAGCTTCAATAACAACGTAACCCCTACTAGGGTTACCAGGACTGCATTTCAAGAATATGCCACTGGTTCACGCTGTCCATCATGATGATTCAGGACTGCGTACTCAGTATTACGTCAAATCTACTGAATAGCGCGTAACGAAGGTACGAATTTCCAGAGTTCCTAAAGCCTAAAGTGGAACCGGCCAAATCCAAAACAAATGGTTCCCAAAAAAGAATGTGTATTCAAACAGTAATTGAACCCTGCAAAAATTTTCCTTCAATTTTGACGGCTGCTCCAGTTTCTACCCAAAACGAGATACAATTGTAACACTGGTCGAAACAAGGGGTTTAATATGGCTGTACAAGCAAACTGAATGCAGTCAAACGAAATGAGTGGTTAGTGTTTTTGAATACATTACAAGAACAAAATCAGAACACACTCAACGCTCAGTCCATTGTTATTTACAATCTTTTTTGCTAAAAGTGTCAGTTTCTTTTGTGTCTCGTTCACAGTTACATACAAACTACCTGACGATTCAGATGGAAGCTGACAAGCTCGAAGGTACCACTTAATCCTGTGGAAACCTACCTTTGATCCCTGTGATCGCTGCATTGCATTCAGTAGATCCAGCCACCCTGTGTGTCTGGGTCAGTAGAACCCACAGGCTGAATCCGTCCATGTGTTTGGAGGTAGTCTAGTAAACTAACTGACTCAAAGAAGTGTCTTCCTGACATTCGAATTCCTTCAAGTCAGCAATGCAGAGTAGTTCAACCTATTAAATTCAACGGAAAAATTTCATGGTAAAATTAATACGCGGAGCCAGCTGATCGCAGCAGGTTGTATTACCGGAGCCTAGGGATAATCAGTGCTAGTATCGGAGAAGAACCTCACTCTGCATTCAGTGTATCAATACCCAATCGCAAAAAAGGCTGCAACAAGGCTACTGTACTCGAGGTCACTGTGGTTAGGCGGTGATTGAAATTTGTGTCATTGCCTGCTGGTTTGCACAATTCAGTATTCATAGTCAAGCGCAGCGACCACTGCTTGTATAGTTGCCGGTGAGTAGCGACAGTCCTAGCAAATTCTGTTTTGTCGACATTGATGGGAAAAGGCAAGCCATGGAATTCAGAGTGCATATTCCGGCCAGGTGACATCAGTCAGGTACATTTAACTGAGTCTTGGTGGTTGGCGTTGCCATTGCCGGGACTCGGATCGAGGACCTTTTGATAGGAACGCTATAGCAAGCAATGCGAACACTTTCTTTGACAAGTGGGGTAGAGACCGTTAACAGTTGAACCTGACGGCACTATAGCCTCCAGGATGATTCCTTCTGCTCATAGATGAACAGTGAATACACAGAACAGGTATCATTTAGGACGAAACAGAAACGTACTGAAAGAAAGCACTTGACCCCTTTTTAGTACATCCTTGAGTGACTTGCCGGACACAAAGATAAGTACAGGAAAAGGGGAGAGGGTTGTACCGGTGATGCACCTCTTGCCAAAGTCTCAGAGCTACAACAGTTCATGCAAACTATGTAGCATGAAGGTTGACAACAGCAGGGTGACATTCTTGGGTAAGTAGTCTGAGCGCATAATTTTGCAGCCCAGCATGCTCATACTGACCTCCGTCACAGCAAAAACCAGCTAGTAAAGGCCTATTGATGAAGTCCTGAGTGGCATGGCGATGTCAGAATTGTCGAGCAACCGATTTGACGAGCAGTTCAACACAGTTGTGTATCCTCCACCAACCTCCATTAGCATAGCAATGCTCCAGGACTGCGACACCAAGCTGGAGAATGCAAAGGTTTCGCCACACCAAGTGTGTGCGAATCTGTGCACACTCAGGATGATAGACGCTCCAGCTTTTGGTAAAATAAGACCAGTGATTCCACGGAATTGTGTCGACGTTTTTTCACGTGGCCACATCAAATCTTCTCATGCACTCGGTTGAAGTAATCCAACTGAACGAAGAATGGAAGAACGCTATCCTCTCACCAATCATCATGGGGCGAGACCGAGAATACTGGTGCAGTTACAGACTTCCAGCGTTATTGCTGATACTGTCTGGGGCGCTGGAAAGCCCGGTTGCAGACGTTGCTTGGGTCTACCTGGACAGAAGCAACATCGGCCATCCAACTCGACCAGACTTCAGGACCAGGCAGTCATGTACGAGAAACTTGATGACCACATGGAATGACTTGATCCCTAGATGCGACAACAAGCAAACAGTCCACGTCATTTTCCTACCGTAGTCAAAGTTTTTGAGGGCTTGCCAAATCATATCACTCTTTCTAAACTTACAAAAGCGAGGGTCACGAAACCATTCACAGCTTGGCCCACTTCATTACTCTAGGACAAGTAATTATGCTCTAAAGTTTGCAGGGAGTGATGAGACAGTAGTATCCCCAGTAGTTTTTCCCAGGCTTTTCCTAACACTGCTACTATTCGGATACGGTATCCCTGCTTAAATCCCCTAGTCTATCCTCCACTTCGCCACTGGCGTCACTACTGAGGACAAGGAGCAAGGAAGTGTGCCTAGGAGCACCCTAAGTCGATCTGCTGCGGCTGAAACCCTGACCAACTGAGAAGGGTTTGAGGCTCAGCCTAAAGAAGTACTTCGAGCACCGGAAGCGATAAAAACCAACTCTACCTCCAAATATCGTGCATTCGCCAAGGTGTTCACGTGAAAGGAAATAGGATTAGACTTTTTGCAGATAACAGTGTCAGACACAAACGAATGGTGGCAAAGGTCAATGCGCTGGGCCCAGGGGTCTATGGCTAACGCTCTGAACAACTTATTTTTGGGCAACCACAACGTAGCGAATAAAAAGGCAGTGGTAGAAGTACACCGCGTTTGTTCCAAGCACTTTTGTGGGCAAGTCCAGTGGGCAAAACTTTTCGAGTACGTTAAAAGTCATTCATCATCTAATTGCAGTCAATAGGGAATATAAAGTTTACAACAGATAGAAGTAATAACCAGGTTTATTGGGCAATGCAAACGCGCTTATAAATTTTTTAAAAGGATAACTGGGGGCCTTTAACCCCGAATTATTCCTCCAGGTCTTTAAAACTCAGGCCTAATACACCTGAAAGTTCCCACCATAATAGTGCTGGTGCACTGGAGAGGAACACAAAAGTTCTGCGGAAGGCACAGAGAAAAATAACGAGTCCGGTTGTCCGACTGACGGGGGGGGGGAATAAAAGCACAAAGCTACACCTGTTCATCCTATGTAATAGAAGAAAGAGGTGTGACCTGTTAGCAGCCTACGAGATTATCCACCAAATTAAGCGCCTCGGCAGTATAATGTCATCGGATTGAGACAGACTGTCGTAGGAACCCCACTTGTGTGCCTCTTCAGAAGGCTGAGGCTAGAGTCATGTCCAACTACTTTTCTAACACTGTGCGCGCTATAGAACACTTGAGTAACAGGGGTAGCCAAAGCCTCCTCAGCTGACTCATTCAAGTGGGGCCATTCCATTCACTGCGAACATACACCTGTAGCAAGTGAACACACAGTTAGCCACCCCATCCTATAGTCTAACCTGTTGATTGTACTCCCGCATTATTTCTAGCATTATTTTTCATTGAGTGGTGCTGTAAAATAGCCTTTACTTTTTCTCAGGTGCAAACTCTCCTACGTCTATCTTGGAATAACACTGAAATACCTGCTTACTGGTTCCCATGTAAAAGAGAAACTCTGGAAATTTTTAGGATTTGTCCTGGTGCGAACTTGACAGACGCAAAGACCAATCACTAATTATTCGAACTTGTTATATACCCACGAATACGAGACCAAGGAAGAACACGATAACGTAGTCGGATGGAATAGTATATTTGGATGGTTATGCCAAAATACCGATGCGTTCCAACTAACTGGCTAGAGAGTGGAATACGAGCAATGCAACGTAACACGACAGCGTGCCAAATGGCGAGGATGCTTGACCGGGTGCCTTCAGCTTAGCGAGTGCAGTTAAACTATCAAGGCCAGCATCAATGTCGAAAGTCGTCAAACCCAAGGCTATTGATTTTGGGGAAGTGTATGACACTACGAATTTACTGAACTTGTGAACTTGACCAACTTAAGGGGACCTACCTACAATTTACAAATGAACACTTTTGAGTAGATGACCACCACCTGAGAAGATAATATAAGGTAGGCTGAAAGAAGTTCTGTGACCCGCTAGTCTAGCCTCAAGACAGACGTGAGAGTTCAAAGACTGCATTTTTCCTCCTCACCCCATAGATAATCTGGATGATGTTTTACGTTCGTCTCATCAAAGAGCAGCAAAAATTGTTTCGCATAGCGGAAGCCATTTCTAGTCCTTGAACAACTTGATTTGCTGGCTGGTAGCTGTGGTGTTTTGAAAACTGGTGAAATAGTATGGATGAAATTGGATATCGTATTTCTTGCCCGCGAATTATGCTTGAGGTTTGACCTTGAGATCACCTGTTCGAGTTTATGGATGTAGTCTATTCCGGTTCTCATAAAATAACAAAACGAAGTTTGGTCGGCCTAGCAAAGTAGGATCAAGTGTATTTTTACGCATTTATCTGTCCAGAATTGCGATAAAATCTCAAATAGAATCCTCACTACATCAAGTTCGTGATGAAATCTCTCCAGATGTCCAAAACTTCTTAGCTATACTAGAAAATTTGTTTTACCATGGATTAAGACGTAAGTTTTTCGAGTATCGTGATGATTAGGTGATAAAAATATTGTCGGGAGAAAAAAGCCTAAACATCCATGGAATCTAATACTTCAGCTATCTGATCCAAATTGCCTTGCACACATCTCATCAGTAAAGCTTCTTGATCATCTGAAAAATGACTTCTCGAAGGTATTGCATTCATTCAATTTGTGACTCTGTAGTTACGAGCTTGGATTAAGCTATGTGTAATGAAATGTTGTCTGCATACCGTAATGCTAGACCTAGTTCGGAAGGAAACCAGTTTGATGTAAGTCGCCTAGCAATGTCTTAGCCCTACTGACTTGAATCCTCATGATAACGTTGTTTGTGAAAACTGGCATTTGGTGGATATTTTCAATTTCTTTTTCAAACTTCACTTTCATAATGTAGACTTATTTTCAAAGTTCCATATTGGTTGTCTGTTTGATACAGGGGATAATGATATGGTATCATTCAGTATATTGCGTTTCAGGCTAGATTTGTGACTTATAGGCATAACAAGGTAGTCAGAAATTCTTGTGGTATTTTCGTGGTTCTGTTACTTTTAACGCTTTGATTTAATTCATAGCTAAGTTTTTCATCGTAATTAGCACTACACGTGTTAAGCGTCTAAATGATGAACAGACATTTAGTGCTTAAAAAGTCATTTGTTTAACAATTCTTTTTGATTGCATGTCAATGGACTAATAATCTGTGGGATTACAGCCTATAACATTGCCTAAATTCTTTACTTACATTGATATCCACGCTAGTTTTAACTCCATGTAACCTGACCGAGAACACATGACTCTACTCCGTACGTATCATTGATACCATTCACACAGAAAGCCGCTACCCTGATGTGGAGGTCGTGTTTGTACATTACAATGGCTAAACGAGCTATGCTGTTAAAAACACTTGTTCCCCGACGTTTTACTATACCAGAAAGGTCTGTTAGTAGTGATTAGACTAAAAGCAGCTAACTTTCTAGTGCAAATTTCTACTCTACGATGGTCTTTCGATGGCTCAGTCGTCTTGTTTGGGGAGACAGCAGCAAGGCGTTACCCACTGTCGACCAGTAGTACTATTCTGATGCTGCTTTTTATATAAGGACTAGTTAGAAATGTTCGACCCTAAGAATAGCACAATATTCTTTATCCTACGGTATACCAATGCCGGTAATATGGGGTGCATAGTTGGATTCGCAAACAGCAAAACAAAATCTGGAAACTCAAAAAAACTACCGGTGACAGGGTTCCAGCTGATGTCCTTTGTGCTTTGCGGTCACCCACTAACCTTACTTTTCCAGGCACCTTAAAAACTACTTACCTTCCACAGTATGGGTAGGCAAAAACTGTCAACCTCCCTCTGAACTCTGTTAGCACTCAAGGTCTCTCAGATGCCTGTCAAATTTCCATATCCTTAACTTCGAATCTCCCTTCACGTCTCTAGGTCAATAATCAATCTTACATCACATCTAGTTCATTCCATCTCTACAGCTCTTGAAACGATCTGAGTTCACAGAACGACATAACTGGTCTCCTGAAATCACTCTCCAAACTACACATTGGGGCTTTCAATATCCAAACCTTCGTCAAATAGATCAACAAACTTTACCAGCTGAAACTGACATATCGGGCCATGGATATTTATTGTGTGTGAGACACTCGTACAGGATCCAAGTACGATAATTCACTGGGCCTCTTTCGTTTACTTATGGTAAATCTGAGAAATTCACCCTTCGCGTTTCTGAAGATTCGATAGCTAGTTCTGACGGTCTTGCAGGTTTATGCATAGCAATAAGTGCTAAGGCAGAAATTTGACTCTTCGACTGGATCCCAGTTGACAGTCGCCTATGCACTGTCCTACTAAATTTTGCAGTGGGGACTAAACATAACGGTGAAATTCGCCATCGTCTCTTTGTAATTTCTGCTTACGCACCTACTGACTGCAGCTCGGAAGAAGTGAAGGATGAGTTCTACCGAAAACTGCCTAGCTTCCTACTGAAAGCCAAACGTTCGGATGTGGTTGCTGTTGCAGTTGAATTTCATGCACAAGTGGGTAGAATAAGTGAGGCAGAAATGCAGTTAAGTGATATTTTCGGAATTCAAGGTGAACAAACAGATAATGGTGATCTCCTACTACAACTGTGTTCAGATTGCCATTTATTTCTGGTCAACACGAGCTTCAGATATGAAGAGAGACATTGTCTAATGTGGTGTCCACTGATCTGAGCTGTGTTGAACACAGATAGGACATATTTCTTGCTGCGTTATAGATGGATAGGGTCGGAAGAAGGTTGCCGATCCTTCTGGAACACGTATTTGGACATTGATCACGTATTGGTTCGAGCACATGTGTGTCTACACTTAAGTTGATGTAGGAAAACCGTTGCAGAAGGACCATTGTGAGTGCTGCTTAACGGTAAGAATAATGAAGCCGCATTCTGCATGAAACCAGCTAAACAGTTATCGGTAGAGGAAAACATCATAAATCATGGAAAATCCTGGTGCCATCTCCAGTGTTATGTAAAAATCAGTGTTAAACATCATAAAGGACTCATTAGGTGGTCAGAAAGGTCCAATGGATCTCAGCGGGCTTTTCTGAATCAATGGATGCACATATAGGTATTCCCGCTGCATATAAGTAGAACGAGGAGCAGAAATCACTCAAATATACAATAACAAGAAGTCGAGGCAATGACAGCAAGTAGTAGTGAGAAGCGAAGGCTAAAGCGATGAGAAGGACGACGTCATTAGGTAACAGCAGATAGTTAATTATCCTGATGAAACAAACCATGGTAGAATTTATTATTATTTGTCCCTTGGGTTCCCAACGGAACATACAGCTTCAGTAGCACGTCTCCATTCCACTCTCTTCTCTAAAATCTTTTGAACCTGACTCCACGACAGCCCACAACCTCTCATTTCTTCCTCACACCATCTCCTCCATGTCACCCTCAGCTCGAACGCCCAACTTGTCGCTCCTCATCTGGGTTCCACTCAAGAGACTGGCATTACCTGACGCGTGATGTCCCCACTCGCTCTTCTCAGTGTATGCAAGATTCAATCCATCTCCACTTCCTTCTTCTGCATATTTGTTCAGCGATAGCTTCTTGATTGGTTCGTTGCCAGGGTGAGTTCCTTGTGGCTTATTCTTATTATTCTGGCAATCCATCTGAGCTTCAGTAACGAGCCAGCGTAGGCAGTTGTTGATGAATGTCTGTAGTTTGTTGGAAATCCCTTTCGTAACGCACCAAATCTCTGATCCATACAGAAGCACTAACTTGACGTTGGTGTTGAAAATCTGTATCTTGTTCCACATGCTGAGTATAGAAGATCTCCACATTGGTTTCAGGTTAATGAATGAAGGCCTGCCTTGCATTTCCAATCATGGCTTTGACGTCCTCATCCCTGCTTGTGCCACCTGTAGTTGAAACAGTGCTTCCTAGATAGGTGAAAGAGGCTACTTCCTTTAGATTTCTCCCGTTGATGGTGATTGCAGCTTGTTGTTGTTGGTTGGGTATCTTCATAACCTCTGTCTCCCTTAAGTCCACTTGAATGGTGTCCCGTCTTCGCTGCCTCACCTCTTCTATCAACTTGTTGGATTTTGCCTGTAGATCTTTGAGTTTGTGTGACACTAGACATAAGTCATCGGCGAAATCTAAATCTTCTAGGATCTTTTCCCCAGTCCAGCCAGCGTATCCCCCTCTTCTCGCTCCTCACAGTTTGTTGCATGATGCAGTCCGCTACAATCAGGAATATCATGGGTGATAGTAGACAGTCTTGTTTTACTCCTGTCTTCACTTGAAAAGCATCACTGAGCTGTCCATTGTGAATTACCTGGTGTGTGGTGTCTTCATTTAGTTGTTGAATGAGATCGGCGAAGGTTTGTAGTATTCCGTAGTGTTGAAGCAACTGCCAAATTACTTCTCGGTGGATACTGTCAAAGGCCTTCTCAAAATCGATGAAGTTGAGGTAGTGAGTTGACTGCCATTCTATAATGATGCGAAGCGTTGCAATTTAGTCCACACATGATTTGTACTTCTTGAAGCCTGTCTGTTCCGGTCGTAGTTTTGAATCCAGGGCATCCTTTAGTCTATCCAGGATGATGCGGCTTAATATTTTGCTTGCTCTGGGTGGAAAGGAGCGTGGTTCCGCGCCAGTTCTTGCAAACACTAAGGTCGCCCTTCTTCGGGAGTTTGATAAGGTGACCCTTCTTCCAATCGCCAGGTACCTTTACTTCCTTCCAGACCTTCTGCAATAGTGGTGTGGTGTGAGCATGTCGGCTGTTGTCACTGCGCCTGTTCTCAGTGCTTCTGGTGGGATTCTATCTGGTCCTGCTGCTTTCCCGCATTTTAGTAGCTTTATGGCGTTCAGGGCTTCGATTTTCGTCGGAGGGCTTGTGTTCACTGGTAGTTCTGTGGCTGGGCTGCAGGTGGTATTTCTGGACAAAGTGCAGATGGTAGTGGTCGATTCAAGAGCTTTTCGAAGTGGTCAGCTCATTGTTTCCTTTGTTTCTACCCTTTGGTAACTAGCTTTCCTTCACTATCTTACACTGGTTTTATCTGAGTTGATCTCTTCCCAGATAGTAACCTGGTTATTTGATACAATGTTGTCAGGTTTCTCCTACCAGCAGCCTGTTCTGCTTCACTTGCCAGTGTGTGGTGGAAGTGTCTTTTGTCTTTCCGTCTACTCTTCTTTACTTCTTTGTCAGGTGTTTTATACATTGTGCTCAGTTCCTCTTGTCGTTGAGCATCCTTGCAGTGGTTTATCTTCTGCTTCACCATCCTCCTCTCCCTGCTCTATCAGCTTCCATGTGTGTGTCGAGATCCATTCCTTATCTTCTTTCTTCTTACTTCCTAATATGGTTATGCAGGTTTCTTTCCATATAGCTTTCGAAGACTTCCAGTGTTCTTCCACACAGGTTCCTTCAGAGATATTGCTCGATATCTCCCATTTGGTCCTGATGGCTGACATGAAGATGTCCTTTGTAGGTTCATCCTTCAGTTTCTGTTCTGGGTGTTGAACTTGAACTGTGGTCTATCACCAACTTCTTTGAAGGCTTTCAACTTGATTTGTGAGGTAGGTTCCTTGCAGTAGATAGTGAGTGGTGTGAACCTACATCTGCTTCCCTTCTTGATCTTGTGTCCAGTAAGTTGCGTCTCCACTTTCTAGAGATTGAGATGAAGTCGATCTGATTTTTAGTGTGCCTATCTGGTGAATGGTTAAATCAAGTCCACAAACTGCTTCCAATCACCAAATCTTTGAATGCGCAGACATCTGCAAACAGTTCTCCATTCTCATTCATTTCACAGAGTGTTTCTCGACCCATGATGAGTTCTCTTTCTGTGTTGTCCGCTCCGAGTTTGGCATTTATGTCGCCTAGTAGAATTTTGATGTCACCATCTGGAGTGGGGTGTTGTCTAGTTCTGCATGAGAGAGAGCCTTTGATGCTCTTGTGGACATGATGATAGCCGCTTTGGAAGTCATTGTGCTCGTGTTTGTCGTGTGGATGACAATATCGGAGTAGATTATTGACTCTACAATTGACAGTTTGGAGAGTCCACTTCCATTCCATCTGCTTTTGCAAATTCCTAACACTTGAATGCGACACCTTCTCATCTCGTTTTCAATCTGGGCAGCCTTGCTGGGTTCAAACGTTGTGCGGACATTCCATGTCCTCACGTTTACTTTTGCTTTCATGGAGAGAGAGAGAGAAGACACATTGGTGAATTGGTTTCCTGAAGGCTTTCACCAACTGGTGTCATTTCGTCTCTCCGATTCCAGCGAGGAATAAGTTTATTTTTATGTTATATATTTTCTTTGTGCTTTGAAGTTTGTTTAGTGGTTGTAATGGTTTTTCGGGGTAGGGGTAGGGTTGCTAGCGGTATGCCCGACCTTCCCTGTTTACCCGGGCTTAGGACCGGCTAGTAACTAGTGTACTAGTTGACCACTCGAGGTTTAAAATATAGTAATTAACACAAAATGCGTGGGTGGGCTATTTTACAATTGTGTAAATGTCATCACGTAAGTTAGATTGAGTATTGGTCAGTTGATTTAGTTAAAAACTAGAGTAAAGACTTCGCCAAACTCATTTATCGACCTAAGTTTGTATGACGTTTTCAGTTTCATCAAATAACATGAAAATACTTGAACCTTATGGTGTTAGAAAACATCTGTAGCTCAAAATTTAAGCGTGCAGGTGAACATGTTGTCTAAGCAAGTGTTCTTTGAGGAATAGCTCCCTAGTTAAATGTCGTATCATACTTTTTCACTTCAAATTACAAAGTATTTTTATCTAGTGTTTTCTTTGATATTAATGATGGATAGCAGCTAACAGCGGAATCCAGGATATGCGTTTCGCCTTATTTGGGATTCGTCTATCGAATGTACCTTCCTTCCTTCACCGAGTGACCGATTCACTGACTGACTGGTAAAATCAACGTACAACCGCGGACAGAGGTTCATCGGCCCAAGTTACTACCTTTTAATGAGTACGCAAAAGCAGGTGGATAGAAAAAGGATGATAACAAAGTAGATAAAGGTGTGTGGTAAGAGAATAAACAATCTGAAGATAAAGGTTACTTTGAATAATAAAGCTTTAGAAGTTGTCAAGAAGTGAATACATCCGCACCATTGTGACAGATTCTCAGCCATATTGTAGTGGGCGTTGCTGATAACAATGGATATAAGTAGTATATGTTGAGAGGGTGGCAGGAATCATAGGGAATTACCAACAATGGGTAAGGATTCTGCCAAGAGCAACTCAAGGGATAACACAGGTGTATTACAGTGGATGCTGCTGATAAGAATGTATGAAGAGCAGATCAAGAGCAAATCAACAGAGGAACAGAAGAGGAAACGAAGACATTTGCAAATGACTGGGTTAGTGCAAGGTGTATTATATGTAACAGAACTCATTTTATATCTGTCAAAACGCTTCCTTTTTCGCCTCTCCGGACAGTTTCTTCGCCAGTGTCCAGGTTTCCAACATGCGAAGCATTTACTCTGTTTGTTGATGTTCATTCGCAGTGCAGCTACCTCTACCTTGATTTGTTCTTAACTATCTTCAGGAAGAGGTAGCTGCACTGCGAATGAACATCAACAAACAGAGTAAATGCTTCGCATGTTGGAAACCTGGACACTGGCGAAGAAACTGTCCGGAGAGGCGAAAAAGGAAGCGTTTTGACAGATATAAAATGAGTTCTGTTACATATAATACACCTTGCACTAACCCAGTCATTTGCAAATGTCTTCGTTTCCTCTTCTGTTCCTCTGTTGATTTGCTCTTGATCTGCTCTTCATACATTCTTATCAGCAGCATCCACTGTAATACACCTGTGTTATCCCTTGAGTTGCTCTTGGCAGAATCCTTACCCATTGTTGGTAATTCCCTATGATTCCTGCCACCCTCTCAACATATACTACTTATATCCATTGTTATCAGCAACGCCCACTACAATATGACCAAGAATTTTCAATCACTTAGTCCTAGCCTACCTTCCAACGAGTATTGTTCCCGATAAGACTTGAAGTAAGGATCTATTGCTTCAAATACCAGAGCATTATCCACTACTCTATCATGGCTCAATGCCCTGGATTCTACTGCTAGCCTCTGTCCATCATTTAACATAAAATTGAAATGAGGGGTAACCATTTACGCAGGAGTTTAAATGTCGATAAAGACCAATCAATTCGATCTGATCAACGACGGGTAATTACAAACAATAACATAATATTTTCTTTGTTGATTTGTCATACTTTTTAAAGAAATTTTTCTTTCAGTTATTGAAGGGGAGATAATTTTCTCAAAATTTGCTCTTATTGTTCTATCCTTCAGCAACTATTATCGTCAGGATGCAATCTTCCGTTCAGAAGAAGTCTTTGATATAATCCATTCCCTTATAGGATTAGAGAATGTACAATTCAAGTAAGAATATATGTATCTTATACAATTATTATAATTCAAATATTATTATTATTATAGTTTAGATTTTAAAATGGAAATAATGAAGCTGGCTGATATTCCTCCAATCGACTTTTCACCTTTCCTTTCATTTCGACAAAGGTATGTTGTGTTAAAAATCTGGATGACTTCAGCATTTATTCTTAAAAATAAGATTTTCAGCGAAGAGAACGAATTTATTCTCAAGGTATATATATATATATATATATATATATATATATATATATATATATATATATATATATATATATATGATATTTAAAGACTGTAATCCATGAGGAAGACTTAACTGAAATAATAGGGGGTTGAAATAATAATAATAATGATGGTGGTGATAATTATAATGTTGCTAGTTGATGACGTAAAGGTCGAATGGTAACAAAAAGGGGTTACGTAAGACCTTCAAATCGTTTATAAGTGCATATAGATTAAAAAAGGTCAGGCTTCAGTTCATGGATAGCCAAGGCCTCTGCTGTTTTTAGAAGCTGAACATGGAGGAAACGTGACGTGTTGGGACGAATTCGATACATAACCTTGAAATCCTTGTTTGGGTAGACTGAATGGTTGGAATCGATTAAATGCTCAAGGATAGAACTTCTGATACATTTCCTGTGACCCCTATAAAAGCAGGCCGGAATATGTTCTCTTATATGTGGTGACAGCAGTCTCTGACTACGGTCGATGTACCTTGCTCCATAGGAGCAGGTGAACTGGTAGATACACATGGATGTGGCCTGTCGAGTGATATTGTCTTTTATACAAACGGAGAACACTTTACGACCGGTAAAGACCAAATGAAGTTTTGCTGAGAAAAAGGTCCTACTTATTAATCTTGAAAGACGATTTTTCAGGATATCTGGTGCTGCATCACCTTTGAAGTCCAGGTTCATGAACAAAGTCTTTTTTGAAATTGAGCTAGTGACTGGTTTCGCATGTCTTTCTTGCATACTCTTATCGATAAATCGGCTAAGATAGCCGTTTTTCGCAAGTGTCCGTCTTAGAAAGTCAAGTTCAAGTTGGACGCATTCCGTGCTACAGTTAAATTCAGTCGAATCTTCCTCACGGATTACAGTCTTTAAATATCATATATATACGAATGTACCGCTTGAGAATAAATTCGTTGAAAAGAGTCTTCCTCGCTGAATATCTCGTTTTTGATGTCACAATGGGAATAATGAACGTAATTTATTCTTAAGTTATGTTGTGAGTACCTTATCTTCTTTGTTTTATTTGTTTACTTCCGAAATTAATAAATAAATAAATTTAGTTTAGAAACACAACTTGGTGCAATCTGTGAATGTCAAAATAATGAGCATATTACTGATGATAGAAACAAATGTGTTTGGCGTCGGGGATTTGAGAAGTTAAAACAAAATCAATCGTATTCTATTGAACAACAGGTTAGATGAATTACTTTACTTTAAATATTCTATTTTAATGTTAGAATGTAACATATTTGATTTATAATTGTTTAAATTAAAGTGGTACTTCAATGTTAAATCACTTCATAAAGAAGTCTCATAATTCCTCTATCTTAAAATATTACTTATTTTATGGATAACAGAACTGTCACTTCTATGGTAGTATACAAGATTTAGTGTTATCTCTCTTCTAGGGATGTCTCCTTTCCTGTGATCCATGAACTTATAGAAATTGATCGTGAATCTGTTCAATAAGTGGTCTGAAAGTTCTGCCGAAGATGTGCAGATATTTGATACCTTTCAACTATTTGTACCATAGAAGATGGTATCCAAAAGATGAACTGGATCGGATCGCTGCTGACGTTACTATCCACATGAGAGCACAATAAATGTCCCTTTAGTGCTGATCATCTGTGATGTTCTCTAAACTGCTTGATCTGAAGTTTGTTATCTTGTCTTTATATTTTTAAATCCTTACCACTAGACCAGAGGTCGACAGCGTCGACCGAGAAGTAATTTTGGAAACTGCTTCAACACTACGGAGTACCACAAACCCTTATCAACCTCATTCAACAGCTGTATGAGGATCCTACGTGCCAAATGATTCACAATGGAAAGCTCAGTGACGCCTTTGAAGTGAAATGAAGACAGGAGTAATACAAGGCTGCCGCTTACCACCACCGACGATCTTCCAGATTGTGGTCGACTGGATCATGCAACAAACAACTGTGGGGGGCAAGAAGATGAGCATACGCTGGACCAATGAAAAGAGCCTAGAAGATTTGGATTTCGCCGACGATGAGTTATATGTAATGTCGGACAAGCTCGAAGATCTACAGGCAAAAACCAACAAGTTAGCAGAGGAAGCAGCGAAGGCGGCGCTTCAAGGGAATGTAGAGAAGACACAGTTGATGAAGATGCCCAACCAAAGACAAGCACCAATCACCATCAAGGGGAGAAATCTAAAGGAATTAGTCTCTTTCATCTACCTACCTAGGCAGCATCGTTCCAACTGCAGGCGGCACAGGGACAAATGAGGATGTCAAAGCCGGTATCGGAAAGACAGCAAGACGGGGTTTCATTAATCTGAAATCAGTGTGGAGATCCACTGCACTGCACTCAGCATAAAGTGTGAACAAGATCCGGATTTTCAACCCTAATGTCGGTCAAGTCAGTGCTTCTATGTGATGGTTGAGAAACTTGGCGCGTTACGAAAAGCATTTCCAACAAACTACAGACATACATCAACATCTGCCGCCTACGCTCACTTGATACTGAAGATCACGCAGCCACAAAGAATAAGCAACAAGGAACTCTGGCTGGCAACGAACCAAACAAGAACCTATTGCCCAATAAATATGCAGAAGAAAGTGGAGATGAATCGGGCATACACTGAGAAGATGGTTTAACGACATGATGCACCAGACCTGGCTCTGGAGTGAAACCCAAAGGGGAAACGACAAGTTGAGGGTCCGAGAGTGACATTAAGATCATGTGAGGAAGAAACAGAAGTTTGTGGGCAGTCGTGGAGCAAGGTTCAAAAGAGTGCAGAGAAGGGAGTGCAGGACTGAAATAACCAATCAGACTCTTTTACTTCATGAAAATATGCCTTTGCAGCAGAAATAAAGATACCTTGTTGGTTATTTCAGTTTTTGGTAGGATATCCTTTACCAATTTTTCAATTAGAACGTGCGAAACATACTACTGATTGGTAGTAATAGTTTCAGAGCACTCAAGCCGACCAACATTGCTAACTAACCGAATCTAGGTGATCTAAACACTAGATAGTCGTTTCACTAACTTCGCGACGAGCTTATCTTTGACTTAGCTGAAACATGAATTCGAATGCAGTCAAAAGTAAGTGACTGAAATGACTCATGTATAAAGGAATTTATCAGCCTTAAAAAGAATAAGCATGAGAATTTGAGATTTCGAGTAGACTTGGATACATCATATTATATAACTATAGTATGATTCCAGTAAGTTCGTCAACTATTCGCCCTTGAGTAATCTTCTACTCAACTTATACAGTGAACACTTAGTACTTTGATATACTGAAGTTAACTAACAAGAATCTTTTTCAGATTAGCAGAGCTTCACGATAGTTCTAATGATACATTGTTTCCTATGGAGTCACTACAAAACTTAGTATTGGTTGACTGTCTCATTCAGTTCTATGACTCCTTAAGTTTAACAGAGAAATCAGAAGACGAAGTTTATGTGAACAATGTATGATGTATTTGCGTAATACATTTCGAACAACCTGCTCGACAACACATTTACTTGTCAAGTCAATGTATATTAAACCGAAAAGTGGGGTGGGGTGGGGGGCAAATACAACAATTAACACAATAGGGGATTAAAATTAATTTAATAATTCCCATTGTAACATCAAGAACAAGATATCCAGCAATTATTGACTTGTCCCTCATGCTTCCTTCTTAAGACATTTGTGAGTGGTGTTTCAGTTATATGAGTCTTGTTAAGCTCACCTTCGGGTTCGGTGAACTTAGTGGGATCAGAGGGAATTACGAAAAGTTTATCAATATACTCCTGACGATTTATTAGGACAACACCTCCTCTCTTATCAGGACGGCTTATGATAATATCCCTGTTATCTTTGATTAATTTTAACTGTTGTATATGGTCCTTAGTCAATAAAGAGCTATTACTTATTTTGGAGTTGGTAAATTGATGACAACAGTCAAGAACAGTGGACTTGAAATACTGAAATTCCTCCGGCGATGCAGGCGTAAGACCGACAGTCTGACTGATTAAATTTTCAAATTGTACTTGGGTATGCAATCTGTTAACCTTGGATGCGCTTCTGCAAAACTTTGGGCCCAGCGATTGGGCTTGTATTTGAATTGTCGAAAGATGAACACAAGAATGATTAAATACATATTTTTCTAGAATATTCGGAAATTTACTTTCCATTTCAATTGGCTTCAAACCATCGAAGTGTTTAAGATAGGCCGACTGAGACTGATTTTCTATGACTGTAAAGACATACTCCTCGAACTGTTTGCGTTCATCAGTGGATAACTCATAAAGGGTATGGTTTCTCGAGGATACATTCCGCTTTAACTCAACAATACGACAGCTAATGACATCAATACGATTAAGTGCGTGACGCTTCAGTGTTTTAGAATCCGGTCGGATATGGTTTCTCCTAAGTGCTTTCCAGAACAGTTTCGAATATTCATTTCTATCAATACAAGTTTCGAGGAAAGTAATCTTAGATTTTACCAAAGCAAGTTTGACAGAATAGCGTAGAAACCTATTGAGGTCCTTCATCGTCATTAGGTTCTTGCATCTTTTCAATAATTTGATAATTCCCACTGTAACATCAAGAACAAGATATTCAGCAAAATTAAGGAAGATGAGAACAAACAGGAAGTAACATAGTTGATCCTAATCTTGGCAAGTGAACGAAGTTTACCAAACAAGGTAGATGTAGTGTAAGAACAAACTGTTTCTGTACCCATAAAGGTGGTTTCAGTTTGTTTGTGCATGCCTATCGCTTCCGCAAATCTCAGTATACGTCCCTGACTCTTTCTATATAACACTTTGAAGGCTGTCTGAACATAAATTTAGTGACCTGCTTCTATGATATGTTTGACTATAGATGAAGGCGGTCGTCTCCCATCAGTGTTTATTATGGTTTCACACTCCATTTGTTTTTGAAGCCATTTAGGTACATATTCTCTCACCCTCAACTGCAAGGCTTGATTACTCCTCCCTATGCATGAGCGGCCACACACACACACACGGGTAAGTACAATGCGGTATGACGTAATCATTGATGCAGTGTTTAGGTTTTTGATGAGGCATGTGTTTTGTTTTTTCCACAATGACAAGATTAGCTGTGTAATGTTTTACGAATGCCTGATGTCTAAGGACTAAGGACCATATACAACAGTTAAAATTAATCAAAGATAACAGGGATATTATCATAAGCCGTCCTGATAAGAGAGGAGGTGTTGTCCTAATAAATCGTCAGGAGTATATTGATAAACTTTTCGTAATTCCCTCTGATCCCACTAAGTTCACCGAACCCGAAGGTGAGCTTAACAAGACTCATATAACTGAAACACCACTCACAAATGTCTTAAGAAGGAAGCATGAGGGACAAGTCAATAATTGCTGGATATCTTGTTCTTGATGTTACAATGGGAATTATTAAATTAATTTTAATCCCCTATTGTGTTAATTGTTGTATTTGCCCCCCACCCCACCCCACTTTTCGGTTTAATATACATTGACTTGACAAGTAAATGTGTTGTCGAGCAGGTTGTTCGAAATGTATTACGCAAATACATCATACATTGTTCACATAAACTTTGTCTTCTGATTACGCTTTCGAAATTTATAAAAGGAACTAACTGTTTCAATTCTGCACTCAGCATGTGTAACAAGATACAGATTTTCAACACCAATGTTAAGTCAGTGCTTCTATGTGATAGTTGAGAGACTTGGAGCGTTACGAAAGGCATTTCCAACAAACTACAGACACTCATCAACAACTGCCTACGCTGGCTCGTTACTGAAGCTCAGATGGATTGCCAGAATAATAAGAATAAGCAACAAGGAACTCACCCTGGCAACGAACCAATCAAGAAGCTATCGCTGAACAAATATGCAGTTGGAGGAAGTGGAGATGGATTGAATCGGGCATACACTGAGAAGGCCGAGTGGGGACATCACGCGTCAGGTAATGCCAGTCTCTCGAGTGGGACCCCCATGGGAAGCGACAAGTTGGGCGTTCGAGCAGAGAGTGACATGGAGGAGATGGTGTGAGGAAGAAATGAGAGGTTGTGGGCTGTCGTGGAGTCAGGTTGAAAAGATTTCAGAGAAGAGAGTGGAATGGAGACGTGCTACTGAAGCCGTATGTTCCACTAGGAACCCAAGGGACAAATAATAGATTATAATAAACTGTTTCAAATCCCTAAGTTTACTAAGCCACTTAACAGTATTGC